AAATATATACTATCCTTAAGATTTATATCTGTGTTTATGTGTAAGTACACAGTAATTTTTAATGCATGCACACAAACCAAAAACATGTCAAAAGTTGTTAGTCTAGATTGTAGAATTATGGTTGATTCATGTGCATCTGATTTTGCTATGCTTGTTGTTCTTTAATGAATGTGTTACTTTTTTAAACCAGGACATAAGCTGTGATTTGAAAGTTCTGAACAAAAAGAGATAAGGGATAAGGAATTAAAAAAAGGGATTGGGATGTATTATGTACCTGTACCCACTCCACACAGGGAATGTAAACATATGCTGCAAATATGTACAAAAACAAAAGGAAAGAGATCCAGAGATGGGGGGAAGGGGGAGGGAGGGAAGAGAAAGGGGATGATAAAAGGAATTGGGATGAGTTATGTACATGTACCGACTTCCCACAAGGAAAGTAAACATTATATACCACACACATACTAATGAACTAAAATAATTTTTAAAAAGTACATGCACGCACAGAATTCCACTAGATGTCAAAAAGTTCAAATGAATTTTTCCGATGAGATATATCACTTCTGTGGTAATTTAAAAATACATCCATAAAGTCTTTGATAGTTGTCCTTTCAAAAGATAGACCTTAATCCTCCTCACCTTCAAGTTATATTTACGGGGTTCAATGTAATGTATGTACACATTGTGGAATAATCAATCAAAGTACTTAATATATCATCATCTTGTGTGCTTTTTGAGCAATTAGTGACTTCTAACAAATAGAAGAAAGGAAAGAGAGTTCAGCTTTGCAGATTGGATCCTCAAACTCTGGTTTCCTCCTTGCTCCCCTCTCTCAGATCACATGCTCTGGGGAAATTCAACTACCAGTGGCTGAGCAGCCTTAGAGAGTGTCCCACCTGATGAGGCCTGAGATGTTCTATAGAAAGCCAAAAGGATCTGGGGCTCCCCATCAACAGCTACATGAGAGGCTGTCTTGGGAGTGGATCTTCCACCCTCAGTCAAGGTTTCAGATGATTGTAGTCCTGTCTAATCACTTGATGCAACTTCATGAGAGACCTTGAGCAAGAAACCACAGTGCAACCACTCCTGGATTCCTCATTTTTGAAAACCGTGTGAGAGAAGCGTTTATTGTGGCATGCTGCTAAATTTTAGGATAACTGGTTAGTTAGAAGTTGATAACTAGGACAATTTATAAGATAAAAGTGTATTTCAGTTATCTTTGCATAATATAAGCCTATAAAGTTTTGTCATGAAACATTTTTCCTTATTTTAGTTGGTTCAAATATTTTATTACCAGTTATATATCCAAATTAAACTCCAGATAATTTATATTATGTTTACTAATAATAGAAAACCTATAATATATTATGCTTACCAATAATAGAAAACATAACATTCTTTGAATATAGGTTGTACTTTGTATTTTGTCTTGAGTATAAGATATGCTCAATAAAACTCAAAGTAATTGGTAAATGAATGAATTGTCTGAAATATTTTTTTATAAAATCCCCTTTACAAATATGCCTTTTTCACAAGCCTGATCCAGCAGGTACAAGTGTACAAAAATTCTGCATATGGAAATGTATTTTATTATCTCATGGCTCTATGAGTTGGGAAATGTTGTCATGGAATCTGATGTAGGGGTATTCATATTGGTTTTAGTAACTGAAGGGGAAAGAATTCATTTGCAAGGCAGTTGATGAAAGTAGCTGGTATTACTACTGGACTGAGATATATACATGAGAAAGGCAAGATAGAATACAATTTGGGAGGATAGAACCCTTCACTGACATGTATTTCACTTCTAAGTTAATAATGCATACCATTTATTTGATTAAGCTACCTGAAATTGTTAGTATTTTACCTATACAGGCAGAAATTTTACTTCTTACTAATACCATTTGCTATTTGCTAGACACTAAGTACTATTATATGTTAACTCAATGCTCATTATACTCTCATAATATTTTTCTTTCAAATCCATTTTACAGATAAGGAAAGTAAACCAAGAAAAGATTAAGAGATTTGCTTATGAGGACTTCATAGAAGAAATAGGATTTGAGCCTATGGCCTCAGAATCCAAACTCATAATATCCATAATGTACACCCTCTCCCCAGACTACTTTCTTTGAATCTGACATTATTTTATGTGTCCTCACTTGTAAAATGGAAATAATATAGTCATCCCTTAGCATCTGAGGGGTTAGGTTCTAGGTCCCTCCTCAGGTATCAAAATACAAGGATGCTCAAATCCCTCAAGTAAAATGGCAGAGCAGTTACACATAGCCTATTTACATTCTCCTGTGTACTTTTAGATTACTTATAATATCTAATACAATGAAAATAGTAAGAGTAGTTACATTGTATGGTTGAGATAAGAAAGATGAGACAAAAAGTCTATATGTGTTCAGTAAAATTTTTTCTAATATTTTTCTTCCACAGTTGATTGAATCCATAGAGGCAGAACATGTACCAAATTCTTTAGATGGTTAAGATGGTTAAGATGGTTGTATGAAAAATACA